GTCGGGGGGGAGGGGGGGGCATTGTCGGTCGGTCGGAATATGCAGACGAGGGCCACGGGGCGGAGGGGTGCGGGGGGAGGGGGGGGGGGGCACGGGGGCGGGAGGGCACGGTCGGGCAGGGGGGGCATTGTCGGTCGGTCGGTCGGAATGAGCAGACGGGGGCCACGGAGCGGAGGTGCGCGGGGGGGGAGCAGGGGGACTGGAAGGCACTGTCGGGCAGAGGGAAGGGGGGCACGGCGTCGGTCGGGGAAAGCAGACGGGGGCCACGGGGCGGAGAGGGCGGGGGAGTGGCGCACTGTTGGTCAGTCGGAAGGGGGGAGGGGGTGGACGGGTGGGCAGCACGGTCGGTCGGTCGGTCGGTCGGTCGGGATAAGCAAACGGGGGGGGGCACGGGGCGGAGGGGCTTGGGTGTGGGCACGGTCGGTCGGTTGGAATATCTAGACGGGAGGTCACGGGGGGGAGGGGGACAGGGGGACGGAAGAGCACGGTCGGGCACAGGGGGGGGGCACGACCGGTCGATGGGAATAAACAGACGGGCGCCACGGGGCGGAGGAATTCGGGGGAGAGCAGGAGGACGGGAGGGCGCGGTCGGGCAGAGAGGGGGGGGCACGGCCGGTCAGTCGGAATGAGCAGACGGGGGCCACGGGGCGGCGAGGGCGGGGGAGGGGCGCACGGTCGGTCGGTCGGAAAGGCGGAGGGTGTGGACCCCAACACACCCAACACGCATCCCAGCACGCATCCTAGCGCACGGGGGTGAGCAGGGGGACGGGAGGGCACGGTCGGGCAGGAGGGGGAGGACGGTCGGTCGGTCGGAATGAGCAGACGGGGGCCACGGGGAGGAGGGGTGCGGGGGGGGAGCAGGGGGACGGAAGGGCACGGTCCGGGGGCAGGAGGGGGGGCACGGTCGGTCGGTCGGAATAGGCAGACGGGGGGCTGCGGGGCGGATGGGGGCACGGTCGGTCGGTCGGAGCATGCAGACGGGGGCCACGGGGAGGAGGGGAGCAGGAGGCGGGAGGGCACGGTCGGGCAGAGGGGGGACACGGTCGGTCGGGATAAGCAGACGGGGGCCACGGGGCGGAGGGGTGCGGGGGGCAGCAGAGGGACGGGAGGGCACGGTCGGGCAGGGGGGGGGGGGGGGCACGGTCGGTCGGTCGGAATATGCAGACGGGGGCCACGGGGCGGAGAGGGCGGGGGGGCACGCATTCCAGCACATTGGGGCGGCACGCGTCCCAACGCACTTGTTGGCCCAGAGACCCCAGCACACCCAGGCCACACCCCAGCACGTATCCCAGCACACTGAGGCAACACACATCCCAGCACGTATCCCAGCACACGGAGGCAGCACACACAGGCCTGCACACATCCCAGCACACGAAGGCTGCACACGTCCTAGCACACGTTCCAACACACATCTCAGCACACATCCCAGTCCAGCGCACATCCTAGGCACGGTCGGCCGGTCGAAACAACGCAGTGCGGGACCACACCGGTAGGTATGATAATTCGTCTTTGTCGCACCCCGAGGCCGGTCGAAAGGGCGGGCCGGGCGTTTTGCCTGCGACTTCTTCACCACTCATGATTCTGAGGCTAAAACATTGGCAACCGCTTCACAAATGGAGGGCGGGCTCGTTTTCAAAATGCAATTCTCGCTTTAGCGCCACGCACACTAGTGTGAAACATTTGCAAGAGTTTCACGGATTCAGGGCGGGTGGTTTTCAAAATGTGGTTCTCGCCTGGGCGCCGCGTACATTCTTTTTACACATTGGCAAGAGGATTTGGGGCGGGTGGCTTTCAAACTGTGGCTCTCGCGTTAGCGCCGCGCACACTCTTTTTAAAACAAGTGCAAGAGCTTCACGGATTGATGGCGGCGCGTTTCCAAAATATGGTTCTCGCTTTAGCGCCGCGCACATGTTTTTAAACATTGAAAGGGTTTCACGGGTTCCCAAGGTCAACGTATCAGAAATTGCGCTCTGGAATGACTCAGGATTATGAGGGTGCGACTGTTGTGTTGCTTCGCGGTGTTGTCCCAGGAATAGCGTTCTGACGCGATGATTCAGGATCGTCAAGACGCAACAGTCCGGTTGATCCGTGGTGTTGGGGTCCCGATAATAATGTTTTGGCATGCTTCCAGGTCTGCAAACGGCTGTCTTCCTACGAGGCAGTTCCTTCAGTGGGAATGAACCCTTGTAAGGACTTATGAAGAGGGAGCTTGGGGGGAGGGTTTATCCCAGCATCGTCGATGGTTCTTGGGTTTATTTAATCGCTTCGCTCATTCCGCCGGCCCATACAGTCTCATGTCTGCCGTTTGCCCGAGGGCCTGGTGTCAATGCGGCGCTTTGGGGGTTATTTTGCCAGGCGTCTCGGGAACCTCTTGGAGGCAGTGTTGAAGCCTCTTGAGGCCCCGTAAGGGCCGGTTGGGGGTCGTTGGGGCTTCTTGTTGGGCTTCTTGGATGGTTCTTGGGGCCTCTTGGTGGCTTCTTCGGGGCCTTCTGAGGGGCTCTTGGGGGCCCATGGGGGCCTCTTGGGGACCTCTGGGGGCCTCCCGGGAGGCTCTTAGGACTGAGGGCTCGAAATGTTGTTTCGTGTTCCCCCTCTGGGGCCG